CTCACTCTCTAAAATTCTCCTCTTGCTCAAAATCAACGAAATTCTGTCAGAATCTTCAAGCTTTTCATCTCTATATACTGCTTCTATCATTAAATCGTGCAAAACAACTTCTCATTCTCATCAATCCGAAATTTTCAAGGTAATTTTCTAAAAACCTCTATTTTATCATATTTTGATTTTAGAACTATTTTAGATTAGTTCTAGGATGAACATTATATCGAGCATTGATTGTTTGATGATTAGAAACTAGATTTCACAACTAATTTCATCAAAAACTCAAAATATTTCAATAAATTTTTGAATTTTCAAATTAAAAAAAAATTCGGAAATATGAATTTAATTTTTAAATATGATGTTTTTGATTTAATTATGTTGTTTTCATGAAAAACTATAAATATTATAAATTTTCAAACATTGTTTTCTAAATAGTTTTTCAAAACTATGCCCATTAGGATTTGATTTAGAGAACCTTGAACTATTGAGGACTCAATTGAGTTTTGGGATTGATTAAATTGCATACATGTGTTTCAATTTGCAGGTTATATTCCTTTTTCTGATTCCTAAACCACGTATAATCCCAAACGCCCTAGAACGTCATCGAGTCGTTCTCGTTCAAACCAACCTCTTAATCTCGTTCCTCTTCCACCTACATCTCTTATAGGATCTTGTTTTAATATGCCTGAACATCGTAGAGACGAATTGTACTCTAGGTACAGAAATTCTTTCCAATCCTATAGAATCCGGGAATAGCGTATTCCTTCTCTTCCAGCCATGATTGATATTGACTTCGAATACCTTCCGATTCTTAAAACATGGAAGTTTGATAAATTGTTTCACCTCAAACCTATCGTTTATCAACAGTTAGTGTGCATCTTCTACTCCAATGCGATATGCATTCAAAACCAAACTTAATGTAGGACTATAGTCATTAGATCCTATCTTTTAGGCCAATATATTAATATTGACCCCGAGACTATAGCTTTCCGTTTTGGGTTAGATGATGATGGGTTATATAATGAGAATGAAAATTTGGAATATCCCTATGTTCCAAACTCTAGTGTTAGTACTCTACGATCTCAGCACGATTGTTTTCTTCATTTGATGATCTCTTGGTGGTTTAGACAATCCAGAGGTAGGTACTCCACTCTTCGTACTAGGGATTTATGGTGCATGCACTGTATTAAGAATAAGATTATAATAAATCTTCCCCACATTATATTTAGTCAACTAGTGGACATCATAAACATTATTCCTTCAAAACATGTCGAAACATTGATTTATGGATGTCTTCTTAGTAACCTTTTTATCAAAATCGGTCTAAACGTCTCTCTCGACAATCATATCCCTTTCCAAAATCAAATCAATCTCACCTCATTGAAGAAAGTGGATTGGAAACAAGACGAGGAAACCAGTCTTTGGGTATTTTAACCCGATAAGCAAACTCTGGGAGCTAGTTCTTCACAAGCTGCTCCTAGCTCTTCTCGTGCTCCTCCTCCTCCGGCACCGACTGCTAACGATGATCCCAAGTTTCAACAACGTATGCAAGATATCGACGATCATGTACCAGACGATGAGCCTGCACCAGAACCAGCACGATAAGAAGATCAAACGCCACCCTATTTTCGATCTTTCTTAGAGTCGTTTGATCTGAGGTTTGCCTCCATGAAGTCTCAGATTACTGAGTTTCAGCGGGAGATGCGTGAATGTATGGACGCTCTCACTCTTGAAGTTCAAGCTCATTATCCTCCTCCTCTCGATCCTCCGATGGAGTGAATTTATTTCCTTGTTATGTTTTCTTGGATTTTCAAACTTGGATTGATTTTGATGTTTCTGGATGTTTAAATTTGATGGTTGTTGGATGTTTGAACTTATTTATTGCTTTATGGATTTTTGAACTTAATATATATATATATTTAGTTTGGTTGAATTTTCTTATTTTTGCATCATTAGACATATATGACCAATTATGCAATTTCACATTTGATTATGAATATTGATTATGAAACTAATGGCTAATCTCTCTTTTGATCTTTGATCTTAGCAGCTGAAGCTATATATATATATATTTAATCAATTGGCTATGTTTTTTCAAAACCTTGTTTAAATCGATTTTTTTAAGTCTTTTTGATTTAACAAAAAGGGGGAGAAATGTTAAAGTGTTAAAATGTTTTAAAGTGGAGAAGTGTTAAAGTAAGGGGGAGTAATTTCAAACTTAATTTTATTTTTCAAAATTTATTTTCAAAGAAAATCTTAAAATTACACACATGTTTTGTTATATCAAAAAGGGGGAGATTGTTGAAAACATTTTGATGTTTCGATATAACAAACTAAGTTAAATGAATTTTAAGATTTTACAAATGATTGTATAAGTATATTCGACTCAATTATTTGAATATCAAATCAATTGCTCCAAATTTTTTCAAGATCAAATTCAAACCTTACTAAATCTGTAAAATTGTGTTTTATACTTAATATATTTTTGAAACATTTTTCACAAAGTATTTTGAACCAAAATCAAGCCTAAAATCAAATTTTCAGAGTGATGCACCGATGCACCAATCCATGCATCAATGCACCATAGAATAAATTGAAACATCGAATGCATTTCATGCATCGATGCACTCTTAGTGCACCGATGCACTAAGGGTCCAACAGTCAAAATATTTGAATTTTACACTTGATGCACCGATGCATCTTGGGTATGCATTGATGCACTAACACTCCCAACTGATTTAATTAATTGTTTTCACACTTAAACGGCTCTATTGACTCCACTAATCATCCCTAACATTCAGAATCATTTGAAGGTGTATTTAAACAAGCTTAGAATCCATTGATCAAAAACAAGAAAACACAAGAAACAAGAATCAAGAGAGAATCAAAGAGAAAGCATCAAACCTCAAGTTTGAGCATTTCAAGCCTATTTTTCATTCAATATTCATTTTGCTTTCAAGAACACTACTTGTACTCAATTGTATTCATTTTTGAGTGTTCTTTTCTTTGTTCTAGAAATGTGCAAACAATCTACCTTGTGAGGATTTCCTTGTAAGTTTGCAAATTTGTAATCTTCTCTTTGAGAAAGAGTGTTCTCAAGAATTGGGGTATATTCTTGAGGGAGTTGTAAGGTTATCTCTTTGGCCTCAAAAGAAAAAACAAATTAGTGAATTTGTTGGAAAATCCTTAGTGTGTATAGCTAAGGTAGTGGACGTAGACTTTGGTTGAGAAAGTCGAACCACTCTAAATCGCTGTGCAAATCTCTTCAATTTTCTACAAAAGCTTCCACCAAAATTTTTATTGCCAATTCACACCCCTCTTGGCCAATTCCATCGATCGATTAACTCAACACATATATATATGTGTGTGTGAATATGTTGAATTATCAGAATCAAAATATATGCTCAAGAATATTTGATTATGTAAAATTTTATATTCGGATCGGATCAGAAATCAAATATGTATGTCGTTTTGTATGTCATATTGGGTTGGATTTTGATAGGGAAAGTTCAATGCATTTACTCGACGAGGTGAATGCCACTTTCATATTATGTTGCCTCTGCCTTTGTGGCAAACCTGTGATTGTAGTTAGAGTGGTTATGAGGAACTCACTCTTCAAATGGTGTGACAGATGTATATGTGCATATCATTTGCATAACATTCAAAACAATGTTATCATTGTTGAATTCGATTTATGAATATTATTGGTTGATTTGTACTATGATATGTTTTGTGACTGTTTGAACTTTAGAGACTAACTAAACTTAATATCTTACACCATTCTAGTTTCTCTTTCAGATCCTCGAGTTAGGGTGAATTGGTACTTTGAGATTTATGTCATATTTAGATTTTATTACTATACATAGTATGAAATTTTTACCCAGATTTTCTATTTGGATTTTATTTGTCATTTTTCTATTTGGGTAGTATTTATTGTTTATATTTATTTTGGGACTTTGGACGTTTTATTTAATTTGGACATAAGATGTTGATTTAATTTGATACTTTATTAAATGATTTATTTTCAGACGTTGTGCATTTTGTAAATAACAATTGTGAGAGATATTTTTAAATATGTTTTACATAATAATGAGCTAATTTTTGGATATGAGTCAATGGGCCCTCTATATTTGACCTATTTCTTCTAGGTCAGGTTAAGGGGTTACGGTTTCATTTTAATGCCCAACTGTTAAAAATTTAATGCGTTTAGTATCTAAACTATCAGTTTGGGTCTGATTTAGTACCTAAACTTTCAATTTTTTTCAAAACTTAGCGTTACATTTTGAACGGAAAACTAAAATGAAACAAAAACTAAACTTTAGGTATAATTTTGAAAAAAGTTAAAAGCTTAGGTACTAAAATAGACGAAAATTGATAATTTAAATACTAAATGAATAATTTATCATTTATTATTCTGACATGGGTTTCTACAGCGTCTACATCGTTTAGGTTATCTGGTCTTATCTTTGATATCCGTATTATTATGATTTCTGGTAAATCTCAAAAGACTTGAAGGTTCTTATGCAACACAAAATCTAATAGAATTGTATGCCAAGTCTAAATCTCATTTTATTCTTTCTTTTATTATCGATCAGAGGAAACTCATATGTGTATACCTTAAGACTTTGATAACCAATAGACAGGATTCATGTATCTTTTGTAATCGACCATTGACATATAAACATGTAACTATGACGTGAGGGCGTATATACTTGAGAGTTTGAAAAAAAGTTACAATCCCATCCCTTTTTCAAAGTATTTAATTTCGAAGCTTAATCTCCCACAAATACCATGTTAAAGCAACAAGCTCTCCTCAAGTAAACATGATGATGGTGAAGAAACTTGTCCTTTTTGCTACTTGATGATCGAGAAACTCCAAAAAGTTGTATTCTTCGCTACTAACAGATGAACAATTTATTAAATGTAATTTGGCATCAAGTTAAGTTGAGAATAACTTAGCTTACAACTTTGAAAGCATAAGAAAGCTACTCAACGTACAAAATACACGCCAAACAAACTTAATCATTTCTACCTAGGTAGGTCGCCACCGTATACATCGCATGCCGTATCCTGCATGCTCTTCTTACTATTTTGCAAACAAGCCCTACAAACAAAAGAATTATACCAACAAACGAACTACAATTCTCCCATGAAATTTTTCTTCAAGGTTCATCATGATCATCCGGACCTTCCTCTCCTTCCTGCAACATGTTCATCAGCATGGATACCTGTTCTTGTAGCATTGCATTTTCTCTCTCGACCTCGGACCTTTTACTTTTCTCTTGTAGAAGCTGCAGTTGTAGATGTTCTAAGCACCGAGCATCTTCTTCCAACTGCTCGTTCAACCCATCTATTTCCCTATCCTGCAAATTTCAACCATTTCTGGTTATTTCGTATCGTCTCTGGTAATGATCCCATAGACCTTTCCTACTATATCAGCTGCAGACTATAAATCAAGGTGCCATACGGACTCTCTTTTTTTTTTTCCTTTGAAATACTTGAATCTAACCCATTGAGTGGTCTAATTAGTAGAAGTGAATGTTGTTCTCGTTAGAGGACTCAAGTTCGTGCAGTTGCATATACAGTGTGTATTGCAATAGACTAAGAAAAATTATGAACAACTACCACAAGTTTCAACCATTTCCAGTTATTTCCTATCGTCTCTAGTAATAATCCAACAGATCTTTCCTATCACATCAGTTACAGACTATAAATCAAGATGCCATATAGACTTTTTTTCCAAGTAGTAGAAGAGAATGTTGTTTTTTTAGAGGACTTGGTTCGTGCAGCTACGTCGGGTATATGCATTGTCATAGGATAAGAAAAATTCTGAACAAACATTATCTTATTATCACTTCAGACTATTAAAAATAGATATTGATACGAGAGATGAGCCAAAGATCTTTCAAAATTTAACCCATCAACTTTGCTGTCCCTTAAATTGTGACTGTAAGTGACTATGTTTGCATAGTAATTATCGTATAAACCTATGAATAATCCTTACCTTTCTGTTCATTTCCTGGACTGCAATCCTTCGCATGCTCTCGACAACATCAACATTTACCAGCTTCCTCTTCTTTCCGATCAGCCAGCCCTTTGGATAGCTTGCAGCATCGAAGTCGGGTGGGGGAAGCAAAGATTCAACCAATGGTCGCCGGCCATTGACGTTTTTTATAGGTTCCAGGGGTTCAAACAGAGACTTCCGGCGCTCAGAAAGTTCGGAAGCCGTCGCGGGATCCGGTACATTGTCTTGATCAAGAGTGTGTTCTTCCTGTTTGGTGGGTGTCACATTAGCAGTCTCTTGTGTTACCTTGTCTAAATTCCTCCCGCTAGCTGTCGGAGAGAAGTTAAAACATTCTAGTTCCAACTGATTTTTAGATGCATTTCTAAACTAAACATGAACTCATTAAAACATCATTTTGCAGTTAAGTTCCAAGCTTCTTTAAGTTCACTTGTTCTAAAGCAGACATTCACTGATTGTGATTTGTGAAGACAGAGTGAAGAAGCTAACAACAGTTTGTCTCACGCTACGTTGATCTTAATCTTCTTTCTTCGTTTTTCCTTCAAGGATATGTGCTCACATCTAAGTCTTCATATATTCATAAAATGAGCACGACAATCAGGGATATACACAAGATTTAATATTAGATGAATAAATTTATAAAATTCTAGGGGACGACTTATAAAATTTTAAGGGATGGAAACATATTATCAATAAAAAATACAAAAAAATATCTAAATTATATAAGAATTTGAAACTTTCATACCATCTCACCATCCCTTATCCATCCATGATGAGAATAGCAGGTTAAAAAACTCTCTAAATATATGAAAATATAGATAAAGTAGAACATTCAGTAATAGCTTGTGTCTAATAAAGTATATATATACATATAAAAGATTTTATGTTAGAGGTGTAAATTTAAAAAATTAAATTAATAATTTAAAAAGTGCGATTTCATATTTCAAAGCTGCAAACTTAGATTAATAATAAAAATTCTAAAAAATATTTAACTATATGAAAATTTAAAATTTTTAAAATCGCGTTCCGTAAATTTCTAAACAGATATATAGATTTTATTTTTATTTTCATAACATGGAGCATGTGCTTGAAATAACGGAGGCTTCCATCCCTATGATGTGAACTCTCTTTATGCCCCTCATAACCAAAAAAAAAATGAGGCCTTTTATACTAATAAAAAATACCTCAAAAATAAAAAAACACAAATGTCTTCAAAGTCCACGTTTTGTTATTCAGTGACATCATTTTAATTTCAAATATTATTTTTAGCAAGTTTATTTTTAATTTCTCATATATATATTGAAAAAATTCAATAAAGTGAATGAAGATTTTGATGTGGAGTAAGATCAAATTTGTGTGGAGCTTTTATATTATATTTATTATTACCTTTACAAAAAGTCCGTTTTTGGCCTAATACATGAAATTAAATCTTAAAAGTTATTTTTTTTCTCAATTTTTTTTTGAAGAAGTTAACAGCTGAAATTGGAGTTGCTTTGATTGAAGGACAAAATGATGGTGCAAGCAAAATAACCTATTTAAGAAGACTAGGTAAATTAACGTAGCAGCAAAGTAATCACCACTCATAAACAAAAGCAAACACTGGGGATTTCTAATGTCCCAGATTCAATTAATTAATCGTTTTAAATGAATTTAGCTGAAAATAAATCAGGTTCCCCTAATTCAGACTAAAAATTTTCAAAGAAAGATGAAAGATCTGTGAGGAAACAGGTTGAAGAAAGGGAATTTCGTGAAATCACACAAAACAAACAGAGAAGGTGAGTGAATTAAAGGTTACCAGATCTCTTCCTGGAATTCCACGAAATCCTAGTTGTAGAGACTGGTGAAAACCCTTCCAAAGCTGCTGCTGCTGAACCTACCTCCTTCTCCATTAACTGAAAACAGAGATAAATCAATCCTTTATTTTCAAACCCAGAACTCCAAAATAAGAAAGAGAGCAAGAAATGGTATTTTTTTCCTCAGCAGTTTTGGGTTTTGTTGAATTTAGAATTTAGATAGGGTAGAAGACGAAGAAAGAAGATAATAAATTGAGGGAGGGAATTATCATCCTTTTGTCTTCTCTTTATCTACCTTTCTTTGCTTATATTTTCATGCAATTTCCTACCTAATTTTATTAATTAAATTTCTGGTGTGAAAAAAAACTCAAACTGTTCCAATGTTTTAAATTTAATAAAACAGCGTAATCATACATACATACATACATATATGTATATATATATATACATATACATATATATATACATATACATATATATATATATGTATGTATATATATATATATGTATGCAGTGTTGTTAGAGTTTGGGCCTATTTTTTTTGTCATAATTAAATACTCCAATTTGGATTTTAGACAAAATCCAATTGCCCAAGCCAATCTCTTCATGATTTTAGTTTAAGGATGTAAACGAGTAGATTTGAATTCGATTTAATTTATTTATTTTTAAATAAAAGCAGTTAATTTTATTAATAAATAATTTTTTTCAAAATTACATTAAAATTTACTATAAAAATTATAGATTAGATACATAATTTAGATATTCTCTTAAAATTATTAAGACTCAAGATCCTATCAGGACCATACAAGGAAAAGATGAAAATCTCAATCTAGAAAAACTTGAATAACAGGTAGATACGAACATATATGACTGTTACGACAAACAAACCACAATAGAGAATTTAAACTACTGAAATACTACCGACAAAACACAAATCAGAGTCAAGCATCACGAGATAATTATATACGATCGTAGGTTGCATATTCAAATCCAATTCGAGGGTCCAAAGTAAGGAAGATCAACAAGTTAACAAATGAGTGTCATCTTGATGAGTCGTGACGATCTCAAATCCAACATTGAGAGAAAATAAACGATAAACGATAAACGATCGAAAAATAAAATAAAAAAGTGTTATGAAAGCAGAGAAAAAACGTGTTATAAAAATAGAGAATTTCATGTCATAAAGACAGAGTTATTGAAACAAAAAAGTAAATATGCGATATAAAAAGAAAATATTGACTACAACCAGTACCAAGGCTGCTAATGAAAGAAAAAAAAAAGAACCAGGTCAGATCTTAAAGTTATTAAATTTGAATTGAATTTGAAATCAAAAATTAAAATTCGACTAGTCTGGAAAGTTCACGAATTGAAAATTTTCAAGTTCGACTCAAAAAAAAAAATTACTCGAGCTTCAAAAAAACTTAATCTCGAAACATTCTCGAGCTTCAAAAAAACTTAATCTCGAAACATTCTCAAATTTAACTCGATTAAAGCTCGAACTTAAATTTGAACATGAACATTAAATACATAAAAATCTTATATTGTATTTTGAAAAAATAACATATAAATGTTAACATTATTAATAATATAATTTTAAAAATTAAAAAATTAAATATTATTTTTTGAGTTGCCCGTAAACTTTTTGAATCATATATCAAGTAGTTCATTTTGACTCATTAAATACTTGAGTCAAGTCTATTCAATTCAAATTTTGATTAAATTTTGATCAAATCAAACTTGAATAACTCATAATCTATCTCATCTTATTTACAGTCCTAATTATTATTATTAAAATACCACATGTCCTATGCTACAAATACGTTATAGAGTAAATTACCTTTATAGTCATTAAATATAGAGTTAAATTTCTAACCATAAAATAAAATATTATTAATTACATCATCAAATATTTAATTTGATTTTAATGAAATTATTGATCATTGATTGTTAATAAAATTATTGATAAAAAATTAAGTGAATTTGTATAATAATATATTTACTGTTCGTTATTCATATATTTTATCAACTTCATCCTAATTTTAATTAAATTTTTTAATAAATTAATATATATAAACTTTTTAATTTCTATTTTTTAAAAATAAAACTAGTCTAATTTTTAAGTTTTAATAAAATATATTTCAATTGCATATGTATAAGTATGTTTATATATAAATATAAAATTCTAAAATTATTAATTAGATTAAAAAATTAATTTAACGATAAATAAATATAAATATAAAAAGAGATAAAATGTTAAATTTAATTTTAAAAAATAATTTACTCTATTTTCTATTGGGCTTTGCTTTAAAAAAATATTTCTTACATTGTTTTGTTTGACTATGTTTCAAATAATCTGGAGGGAGTTAATATTTAAAATAGGGGTAGGATTAATTAACATTTTATACCGAATCATAATTAAATTTATATTAAGTCATATAATAATATGAACAAAACATGTGTGATTATCTATGTTATCTTAACATGCTTTATTCCCCTATATGAAGATTCGATTTAGTGGCAAGCATAACCGGCGTGTGCTTATTATGAATTTTGCAAATAATATTGATTTTGCATAGAGGTTATACTATTCTTCCTATGATAATTCTTGTTTTCATGCCCTTAAAATTTATATAATTTTTTAAAAATAAAACAAGCGTCATTAAAAACTCCTTCTAAGACCTATAAGAAAAAAAGAGTACCCTAAGACCTTGTATTACAAGAAGAAGAATCATTGGATACATCATACCTAATAATCTCGGGATAAAATCGAGTCAAAATACAAGGCATTTCCAGAACGGAGAGTTCACTTAGCCAAAGTATGTGCCACAGTATTACAAACTCGAGGAACAAAACACACTTTGTAATTTAAATTAACATCCAAAATCCTATAAGCTTCCAGAAGATGATAACCCAACTTGAACAAGTACTCCTCCGATCGAGACATCTTGTTGACTACAAGCGTTGAGTCCGATTTAAAGATTACATGCGTCCACCTATACTCACTTGCGAAAGAAAGTGTTGCATTCAAAGCATGAATCTTTGAAAGCCCATATTCGAGACAACCTGGTGACGATGCAGCCACGCCGCCAAGTACCTGGCAAACATAACCTCGAGCAATAACCCCCACAGCCGTTATTCGCCCAGTAGGCTCACAAGAACCATCAAGATTGATCTTCACTTAACCTGGAGGGAAAGGTTGCCACTTCGTAGGATTAATACACGAAGTTGCTCCTGGAGAAGACGTGCTCTTCCCAACATATGCTTCCTAGCCAATAGGTAGTTATACTGAAGAGAGGCAGCATTGGTGGCCAATATCCATGGGGGTCGAATCTTGTTATCATGCACCTTGGAATTCCTCCCACTCAAGAGGTTCCAAAGCAATACAAGAAAGCAAGCAAGGCCAACTAGTTCCAAGTTAGTAATCACCAAGTCTAACCAATCCAATGGAGAAACAAGTTGACTAGACAAAAATGTACCATGCATACCTTCGCAAATAGAAGCTTCTTGGGCATAAGAGCAATCCCGTAAAATATGAACTTTCGTTTCTTCTTCCAAGCCGCACACTGGGCACAGACCATCACTTAAGCCAGCTTCACGTAACCGCTTACCAACCGGTAACCCATCATGTGCCACTCTCTAAGAAAAGATCTTAATCTTAGACAGGATATGAAGTTTAGCAACTATTTTGCAAACTTTAGAAGCAGACGTCGGAGAATGATTGGGACGTTAAAGCCACCAGTAACCCAAACAGACAGAGTATAAACCATAATCATAATTTCCCCATATGATCACATCCCTCTAGATTGGATTAATGAAGGTCGATAAAATCAAGTCAGAGTAAATGGCGTTATAATGTGGCGTACCTTTGACTCGTTCCAGCTAGACGTTCCACTATGCATGAAATGTCATGCATGTAACTGTTGTACGAGAATAGATGAGTAATTTCAAGTAAGGGAGACTAAATTTAACCCACCCCATTTATCCTAGGTCATATGGAAGTAGATATCCCGTCCAACTCTCAAATATAGTGCACCTGAGAAAGCCTGAACAGTTTTGTTAATACCTTTCCACACATAGGAGCTTTTGTTACTAACAGAAACACTAAGTATATCACTATTTGGATAATACTTTGCTTTCTATGTCTGTGTCAACAAGCAATCTGGGTATTGAATTAATTGCCATACTTGCTTACCAAGCATTGCCTAGTTAAATGGTTGTATATCACGAAAACCATGTCTCTCTTGACTTTTCGGTGTACAAATTGTATACCACGCCACTAACGGCCAACCGCGCTCGAAAATCTTTTCGGTCCACCAAAAACGTCGTATGATGCTGGAAATCTCACTAAGCAAGTGTTTTGGGAGTAAATAGCAAGACATCGCATACTGCGGTAAAGCTTGAGCAACATATTTAAGGAATACTTCCCTACCCCTATAAGATAACAATAGCTTTGTCCATCCAGTAACTCGTGCATGAACCTTATCCCTCATATATCCAAACGTACGAGTTTTTTTTTTCTATGTGAAGCGAGAATCCCAAATAATAACCCAAATAGTTGACTATCTAAATACCTAATATATTCACCATTTGATTACTATGCTCTCTAATCATTTGTGGACTAAAATATAGGATTAATTTATCCAGCTTCACATGTTTGTCTGAGGCAGCCGCATATATATTTAGAATCTCTTTAATTTGATTAGCCTCACTCATGGTATTCTTTAGGAATATCATACTATTATCAGTAAACAAAAGATGCGATACTTGGGGGCCTCGTAGAGAAGTTCTAATCCCTTCCATCAAACCAGTAGTTTGCATTATATGAAACAAAGTAAACATATATTGAGTGACAAACAAAAAGAGAAAATATGACAATGGTCCCATTGTCTTAAACCCTTTGAAGGGGTGAATCATGGGTGAGAGAGTTATTGACCCGAGTCGAGAATGTGACCATTGTGACACATTGTGTTATCAAATTAATGAAACCAGGATCAAACCCTAGTTTAGTCATCACTCCTTGTAGAAAGTTATCTTCCACTCTATCATATACCTTTTCAATATCCAGTTTCAACACAGATATTGTGTTTATTCCATTCTTTTCAAAATTCATGTAATGTAACAGCTTGTGGGCTACTAGAATATTATCATAGATCTGTCGTCCCAGTAGGAAAACTATCTGATTATTACTTATGCATAATTACATAGATTCCTTTAAACAATTAAC